AAATCATCTCTACCTTGTTGGCATTCATCTGAGCTCAAAATATCTTGTTCTGAAAGCAGTAGTGGAATCTACTAATTCATTTCTCCCACCATTCTAGTCTCGTATCTTCGCTTAACTCATTAGTTATCTGCTAGCTTACCACAGAAAAGAATTTCTTCTGTCTTGGATAATGTTTTTTTTCGATGTTCATATAATCCCACTCACCGCTGTTTCAAACAGCTTGGAAGAAAAGATGTTGGCCTCATCATTTCATTGAAGTGCCTTGGGATTTTCTAGTATCAGTTTATATTATTAGATTGGGAAGGTTCGGATTCAAAGCGTGAAACTGGAGTAAATAAGCTCTGTTCAGTGGCAATAGCTCTAAGAAGTAGTCAAATACATAGTCCAGTTTCTGAAAGGTTAGGATTGCAAAAAAAGCTCAATATATGTTAACGTGCCGATTCTTTGCGCATAAAATTTTGTTCAGCATATTAGGCACAGCGCCTTTGGGGCATACAGTATTGTGAGTCCACAACACCCAAGGAAAAAACCCACGCGCTTGTATTCATACTATGAAAATTCTTTAGGAAATAGTATTAGAAAATCGCAGCCCTGCAGTCTCTCAAAAAGAACTCATATTTGTGCGTTAAGTCCAAAATATTTTCCTTTCAATTGTCGCTTGCAAAACTCTGTTTACATGTCTATTTAGTGGAAGAGCGTGTTTCCATTGCCGCCAACAAGGTCATATATTGGCTGATTGTCCAAATCGAGACGACAGTGACCAGACAGTTGGAAATGTGGCAACTATGCATGGCGACGGAATCTGTTTTAAGTGTGGCTCCACAGAGCACAGTGTGCATAAATGTCCAAGAAAGAATATAAAAGGTAAGAAAAACCTAATCATTGAGAAGGGTAGGTATCTCATAAGTTGTTTGCAAAAACTTTTGCAGAATTAAACTTTGGGATTGAAAGATAAGGAAAAGATAGCTGAAATATAGAAAAGTGGGGTGAAATACACTAAAGTTTGTAATGTTACTACTATACCCGTGAGAAAATATTGCCATGGGAAAAGCGTGGTGTTGTTATTCTTCCTGATTCTTCCTCATTTGCCTTTTTCTGAATTTTTTTTGGCGAACTAAGTCTTTTCATCAATCTCACCTTACTTGAATGTCCCTAAAAACAAGAGGCAGAATGGAAATTGTCTTGCTGGTCTTTTTCAAGATGAGCACTACTGTTTGATTAATCAACTCGTTCATATCTCATATTCCCTCAGATTAATCAACAGATTTGAAAAAAAATTCTAGGTTGTCGTGGGTTTCATCAGTGGAATAGCTGTGCAAAGCAAAATGACGGACTTTCAAAATTTGCAATTGAATGAATATCGAAGACTTGTGAAAACTTTCAAACGAATGAATGACATTGAATCGCCATGAAATTCAATCTCGAATATGATTGGTGAGGATTTAATCATTCGACTGTTCGAATGACTGGATGGGCACAAATGAATATTTGAAGATTCGAAATATCGAATAAGCGCGTCTATCTTGAACATCTGACTGGATGAGTGAGTACCCGAATAATAGTCAGTCAAGTAGTCCATTTGTATAGTAGTGTTCGGCCTTAATCATATTCGAGAGCTTTCCAGGAATTTGTAATTCGATGATTTTGCAAGTATTCGAGAGACGACTGTTATGAAGCTCCTTTTTAAAGTATCTCGAATTTGAACGGTAGATTATAGACGTTCAAGGATTTCATTATTTGACCAGAATACCGATATTTGTAATTGGGTGGTTGCATTTTTTTTGATCTGTGCGAATGCGAACATCTTGTCCAAATACGCATTTTGATCTTAGCTACTAAAAAGAAAATTTATTTAAGTAGAGTGAACCCATGAATCACCGTTATAATAAAAAATCTCGGTAGCTCCACACCACTTGTGTAACTCAGATTTTGTATAATTGACTATCCTACTTTGGGACACTATTTTCGCGAGTACCACTCCCCATTTTCTGAATTCCGCCTT